CGGTGGTTCCTATGATTCTCAGGCCATCAAGCCTACACTGGAAAAATACCTGCAGCCTTTCCGGGTCTCTACCTTGCAGCAGGTTATGAGCACCTCAGTCAGGTGGGCCAAACCCTTATGACAGATCTCTTTCTATTGGGTTCTCGCTCTAATGAATCCTGACTAACATGAAAGGAATAGAAAGTCTGGCAAAGACAACTAGATAAATTTCAAAAGATAATACAATGACACATTTATTCTACTTTCTAATCTTAACTGATATAAAAGTGAACTGTATAAAACAAGGTTATATGGTTGTAATTGGGGCCCAATAGCATCTAGAAATATAACATATTTGACAAAAGCAACACAAAAAGGTGTGAGAAGAAACAAAGCAAAGAAATTACATTTGAATCCCAGAAATAAAGCAAGAAATCCAGAAAAGGAAAATAAGATGACTAATATAACAAGGTCTATAAATACATACTTGCTCTTCTTAATTCACTCAGCTTCATTAATATTTAAATATTAAATTATGTAAGGTAATAAGAATTCACTGTTGAACTTTTAATGCATGTTGGTATACTATGTATAATGATAACAGTACAAGAGTGGAGGGGGAACAACGGTAACCACTTTTGATCACCTGGTATTCTATTTTTGCATCATGTACTATGCCCATCCTTCTGTTCTAACTGACTGTTTTGCTTAGTCACATTTGGTTTTATTCTCCTCAAAAAAAACTAATAAGAACTGTGGAAGTAATAAAACCCAGAAAGTGTAATTGTTATTGTAAAAAAGAGAGGAAAGGAAGGTGGGCTAAGGGATATAACCACAGGTATGTTTGGAGTGTGTAGGATGGAAAACCATATTACTGAGCTTTTGTTGGATCATTGAATGGAACTGTCTCCAATATCACTGTATGAATGTCCACTTTATATGCTTTAATTTTATAATTTGGACAACTGTTTCTAAGAAGGCAATATGTAACCTATTAACTAGTGATTTCTTACTGTATATTTTTTTCTTGAAATTCTGTATTACTTGTACCCTTTTACTGCTTTGTTTTTTTATGTAGTTTCTTTTTTCTCTTTAGATAAAAAAAAAAGAGTGGAGGGGGAAAGGAACGGAGCTTTATAGTAGTAAAATTTCTATATTTCACTGAAATTGTGTTAGTATAAATCTAAGGCAGATTTTGAGAATGTAACCTGGGCTTAAGATGTCAAACCACTGTAAGAAAAAATAAGCAGAAATCCGGTAACAAATTCAGTAAAATGACTTGGGCTGGAGTTTGAATTGGGATATTGTATAAAGTTCCTGTGTAACTTGAGTAAGTCATTCAAACAAGTCAGTCCTCTATTTCCTTAAAAGTATAATAGGAAATTCAATTAGCTTTCCACCATTTTCCTTGCTTTCCAAAAACCAGCTGAAATTCATCCAGCGTCGTTTTCTTTTCAAGCTATTTGCTGCCTAGGCTATCATAGATTGTGACTGTAAACCACTGTATTTTAATACAGACTCACCAGATTACTATTTTGTGTTTCATTTCTAATCAACCCTTCTTTTTAAAATGGTTTTTTCTTATATATTTGAACATTCTCTTTTCTTTTATAGGAAGTACTGGTGAATTTGTATAGTTTTTCTCTCTGGTTTTATTTGGAGTTTCATCAGTAAACAGCCGAACTCTGAAATTTTCATGGACTTCTTCAACAGGTGTTGGCACTTTGGTTATTTTAACGGTGGCTTATGGGCTGTGCATTGAATGACACATCTATTTTAATTGTCAGAAATAGCTGTATGCCAGGGAAGATTTTATAGGCATGGGATCTCAGCTCAACCTCACAAAGTTATATTTGGTGATTCTCTCAGGGATATAGTTTTTCAGGTCAAAAAATGGCATTCATGCCTTTTATCTCACTATATTTTAATTTCCTGACATACAGTGAGAAAAATGGAAGAGAATTTAGCATGGTGAATACTTTTTGCCAGCACAAATGTAAGAAAAAGAAGATTAAGATGCTGGTCTATTGATGTTAGAGGCCTTGTTATGTAGCATAATGGAGGCTGGGCTGGCTTAGCCATTTAGGGAAAATATTGGAGTCTGGGAGAATCTGATCAGGTACTGTGCTCAAAATGAATGCAGTGGCACTTTGCTTCACAAACTTAACTCATTCCACAATTCTTTTTTTTTTTTTTTTTTTTGTCTTTTTCCTTTTTATCGGTACCAGGGATCGAAGTCACGACTGCCTGCTTGCAAGGCAGGTGCTTATGCCGCTGAGCTAAATCCCCAGCCCCGTCATTCCACAATTCTTAAAAAGACAGCCACATTTGTGTTCATGTGGGAAAGATGGCCGTGTTCCTGTTCCTTGCCTGTGATGCAAGTCTGTGAACAAAAACAAAATTTTTCCAAGTGTTTCTGTTTGTGAACCAAACTGTTCACCAGTAGAAGTGTTCATGAAGTGAGGTATTACATACTGTATTCTCAAAGAAATACACCTGACCTGTTATTCAAAGATTTTCTAGTATCTTGACTTTACTTAGCTATATGTTCATTGATTTAAAAGTCAGAAAGACTGAGTATCTTTTTCATCAATGACATAATGTGTGTAAGTTTATTATCTGAATGAATTATTGTGAAAAAATCAACATATTGCTCATATCTCGGTATATTCCCAGTAGAATAAACATAGTCTTGTTGCTAAATATTTGAAACTCTGGATGAGTTTTTAATAGTCTCAATGCCTAGCCCAAACTCTTTTCCTTGGTATTTATAAGTAAAAAAGCATTTATTATGTGTCAAATGTGAGCAGAAATCTCAGGATCACTGATCCAATGATCTTGGACTTGATCTTTCATTCATATATATATATATATATATATATATATATATATATAAAACTTCCTAAAGAGATCAATGCTGCTGTACATTTTGGAGAATTTCCATCAAAAAATGAATGAATGAGAATTCTTTACTCCTTGTCTCTCTACTTAGATGAGTCTATTCACGCATTTAAGTCTTTCTGCCCTCTTTTCATTCTCCTCCCTTAAAGCTCATTTCTATTTTATTAAAATTATATAGTTCACCAACAACTTTGAAGTTAGGATTCTTCTGTAAGTAGTGTCATTTGTACATTAGGTCTCATTTGAAATTGAGAACAAGTGTTTCTCTCCATTGTAACATTCCTAAACTTCAAAACTTCTGAGCAGTAATCAAGTGGTTTTATGAGGTGGCTGGGAGAGGGACAGAAAGAGAAGGATTTCAGTGTCAGGTTTTTCCCATACATTCAGTGTCCTATGTGTCATTCTGGAGCAGGAAGAAATGACCAGGCATGCTCTGTTTCAACAAGGTTATACTACCAATTGTAAAGTTGACTTGGATTGTGCACAACCACTTCATAAAGACCGGAAAGATGACCATTACTGTGTGGGCTGAAGCAGGAATTAACCATTTCTGTGTGGGTAGAAGGAGGACTTGACTTTTTGTGTGGGTAGAAGGAAATTCAATTTGTGTCAGAAAAGCACAAAACACTCTGATGCTAACCTAGTACAAATTAATGTGAGACTCAGGTTAGAACTTCCTCCCCTTTGAAAACTGTCTTGAGGCTTTTAAGAACCACAGAAAGTCTAGGTGTCCACCGCTAGCTCATTCAGGGCACTCCCAAGAATGGTGAGACCACTCAGGAAGATGCGTTCCTCCGAGAACCTGCTTGGCACTGACAGACTTCCTACGAAGTTGAAAATAAGCAAACAGATTTGTGAATTCAGGCCCATCCCGTGATCACTTGTTTCTGTTTACCTCCCGTGTACTGCACTGGCATCTCTCTTCTGTAACTTAATTCTGATTTTCTCAGATTTAAAATAAAAGTACACACTCAAAGCCGATCCACTCTCTGTTGTTATAAAATCGGTCAGTGATGATACAACATAACAGAACCGAAACCTGAAACTGTGGACAGACTCTCTTTTCTGGAGTTGAGCTAGCCTATTCTGCATGAGAGTGTGTCGTCCACACAGTACTCAGTAACTGACAGAATCTGTTTCCTTCATATACTCTCCTTTCATCTCCAGGGGAGGGAACAGAAGCATGAACATTGCTCAAAGAATGCTGTTCTCCTAGGGTGGTGAAGAAGATGCCTGTGACACTGATTAGCATCAGAAAATGTCTAGGAAATTAGTAAAATGTACTTCGAGGAATATCTGTGAGGTGTGAGAAAACCTGCATACGGGGCAGCAAAATAAGGAGGGACGTGGCTGGCTGTGAGCGCACCATGCAGTAGGGTGGAGGTCTGGATAGAACCAGAGCAGAGAAGAGGAAGCCCAGCAGCACAAGGCTCTCTGGCTCTCTCTCTCTCTCTCTCTCTCTGCTTCCTGACAGCATTGAGGTGAGATGCTCTGCTCCACTGCACGCTCTCAAGCACGATGCTCTGCCTCTCTATGGCCAGAAAGAATGGACCCAAGTTACCATACACTGAAACCTCTGAAACTGTGAGGCAAAATAAACCTTTAAATTGTGATTTTCTGATATTTTGTCACAATGGCAGAAAGCTAATACAAGTTTCCCAGAAGCACCCCATTTTTGCCACCTATACCTCCCCTCCCACAACCCTACCTCCCCTCACCTGTTTTATGATCTTTATGGTACTTACTTCCTTATGAAGTGATCCAAAGTCTAGGTCTAGAAAAGGCAGGAACTGAATCATTCTTATTCACTGGAACATCCCCAGTACTTGGGAAATTGCTAGATACACTAGTCACTTAAAATACTGAATTTAATTTAATGAATGAATAAATGAGAGTCATTTATTGGGTTGGGACATTAAATAGGTTTCAGAATTACAGAATCTATGATTGCTAGATGAATTCCTTTACATCCCACCCCCTAAATTTTGCACAAATACACTTAGGAGGTAGAAGTATATAAATGAAATCATAATTCTCAGTAGGGGACCAGAACAACAAAGTAAAGTGGATGACTTCAACATGTCAAATACAAAGATTCATTTCTTGGAAATCTAACTTACCTGAGTAGGCAAGTACCCGAATCCTGAAGTATACTGCTAAATTCACTGTCAGCCTACATAGCTGGCGTAGTGGTGTAAGGCTGGACAAATGAGACTCTCTGTGCTTCAGTTTCTTTCCCTACAAAATGAAAATAATCAGATCACTTCTCTAATTAGTTTGTTACAAGAATTAAATGAGTTATTTAAGCAATATGCTTAGGTAAAAACATAACTAGTGTGTCATACCACTATGTGTTTTCTACAAACTACTACTAATATTGTCATTTCTTACACCCATAATTTATGAGAATTAGAATTTTTTGTGCTAATTTCAGTAATCTGATGAAGTATATTGGCCATTTCCCTTAACAATGCTTTTTAAAATATAATAGAAGCTACACAAGATGACAAATTATATTGAAATATATCAAGATATTTTTAATTTATGACATAGCAATACATCTTCTTCATGAACACATTCAATAACAAGATATCCTGACATTATTCAACCATAATTTTAAAGTAGAGACAGAAAGCTAACACAATTTTCCCATATAAATGCTATCTCAAGTGCTCGGCAGCAACAATGAAAATATCTGTGGGCAGAGGAGGAGCTGGGCAGATCTGGGGTGCCCTCACTGGCCTCTCTGCGTGTCTGGAGGACTCTGGATTTCTGCGCCCAGACTGCTGGAGTTCCCTCAGGCTTCCAGGTGCAGTGAAGGAGAGAGGTGGGTTTGAGGCTTCCACATCAGCCTCCCCATTCCCGGCTTCATTTGGAGACCTGCTGAGCTCCCGATAGGTGGGCTGGCCCACACTACCAGCCTAGCCCAGCCTGTTTAGCTGCCGAGCCTGGTCATAGGTCTGCAGAGGAGGAGCTGGGCAGATCTGGGGTGCCCTCACTGGCCTCTCTGCGTGTCTGGAGGACTCTGGATTTCTGCGCCCAGACTGCTGGAGTTCCCTCAGGCTTCCAGGTGCAGTGAAGGAGAGAGGTGGGTTTGAGGCTTCCACATCAGCCTCCCCATTCCCGGCTTCATTTGGAGACCTGCTGAGCTGCCCATAGGTGGGCTGGCCCACACTACCAGCCTAGCCCAGCCTGTTTAGCTGCCGCGCCTGGCCATAGGTCTGCAGAGGAGGAGCTGGGCAGATCTGGGGTGCCCTCACTGGCCTCTCTGCGTGTCTGGAGGACTCTGGATATCTCTGCAACCAGGGAGGGTCCACAGGTTCCTGAAGCACTGCGGCCTGTGGTGAGTACCCTAACCCGGCTGCGATTGAAGAACTGTGGAGCTTCCAAGGGGCAGGTGGGCGCACAGTGTCCCTGAGGCCCAGCTTGTCTGGAACTGCGGAGTTCTGAGCAGGCAGAGGAGGGCCACTGGTTCTGTAGGCCTAATGGCTTGGAGTAGCGCGGCGCCAGAGTCTCAGTAGCTCCAAACATAGAAGGGGATTTTCAACAGATCCTGAGGAAGCTTTCAAATAACACTTGAAACACAGAAATATAGGAAAATGACAAAACGAAAGACCAAATTACAACCTCAAACCTCCAGCCCATCTCAAGAAACCCTAGGAGCGATGTATATAGAAGAAAATATATCCCATCCACCTCATATATTGGACACAATAGCCACTGAAATTGACAAGCAACTCCAGGAAGCTTTAAAGAAATTCAAACTCGAAATAATCTCCCAGATAAAAGAAGAAATGATAAAAGAAATGAAAGAGACTCTAAATATATCTAAAGAAAACACAGATAAAAAATTGGAGGAACTAAACAAAAAGATAGAATCCCTAGACGAGCAATATAAGAAACAAACAGAATACATAATGCAGATGCACAGAGATATACAGGAAATAAAAAACTCCACTGAAAGTTGTAAAAACCGCCTTAATGAAAGTGAAGATAGAATTTCAGACCTTGAAGACAGGTTTGCAGCTAGTGAACAGGAAAGGAAAGATCTTTTGAAAATAACAAGGAACCAGGAAACAACAATTCAACAACTGCAAGACGATGCAAAGAAGAATAACATAAGAATGATAGGGATTAATGAAAGAGAGGGAGACAACATGAAGGATGTCAGGAGGATATTTAGAGAAGTAATAGCTGAAAATTTCCCAAGCATGAGATCAGAAACTGACATCAGGATCAGTGAAGCATATAGAACTCCAAACAGTCATAACCAAAATAAAACTACACCCAGACATATAATAATCACCATCCCAGAAATCCAACACAAGAATAGATTATTAAAAGCTGTCAGAGAGAAAAGACAAATCACTTATAAAGGAAAACCTATCAGAATCACAGCAGACTTCTCAGCACAAACGATAAAGTCAAGAAGAGCATGGAGTGAAGTATTCCAGATCCTAAAGCAAAATGATTTCCAACCAAGACTGATATATCCTGCAAAACTATCATTCAAAATAGATGGTGCAATATGATACTTCCATGACAAAGAACAGCTGAAGAACTTCATGAACACCAAACCAACCCTGCAAAAAATATTGAAAGACAGTTTAGATACACAAAGGAAAAAACCACAAAGCAAAGCAAATAATTAAACAGAACCGAAAGATAAAGATGCAACAGCAGAGAGATAACATTCCTACAATTAACCAGCATTTAACAGTAATAACCATTAATGTAAACGGTCTCAATGCACCAATCAAAAGAAACAGACTAGCAGAATGGATCAAGAAACAAAATCCAACCATATGCTGTTTACAGGAAACCCATCTAACCCAGAAAGATACTCACAGACTGAAAGTCAAAGGATGGAAAACAATTCTTCATGCAGCAGGAATCCAAAAAAAGGCAGGAGTAGCCATTCTGTTTGCAGACAACGTGAACTTTAAACCAACAATGACCATAAAGGACAAAGAAGGTCACTACATACTCGTAAGGGGAAAACTCCAAGAGGAAGAGATAACTATCTTAAATATATACGCACCAAACTCCAGAGCACCCAGTTATATAAAACAATTATTAACAGAAATGAAAACTCAAATTATCAGTAACACAATTGTAACAGGAGACCTTAATACACCACTGACACCAAGGGACAGATCAACGAGACAGAAAATGAGCAAAGAAATAACAGAACTGAATCACACCTGTGAACAAATGGGTTTGATAGACGTATACAGAATGTTCCACCCAACAACATCAGAATACACATTCTTCTCAGCAGTACATGGATCATTTTCTAAAATAGACCATATATTAGCTCACAGAACATATTTAAGCAAATGCAAAAGAGTTGAAATCATCCCTTGCATATTATCGGATCATAGCGCTCTGAAATTAGAAATTAATGACAAAGGATACTGCAAAAATTCCGCAAACACATGGAAACTAAATAACACACTCTTGAGTAATCAGTGGGTCACAGAAGAAATTAAAGAAGAAATTAAACAATACCTAAAAGAAAATGAAAATGCAGATACAACTTACCGGAATCTGTGGGATGCAATGAAAGCCGTTCTGAGAGGAAAATTTATTGCACTGAGTTCCCACATCAGGAAAACAGAACGAATACAAATAAATAACTTGATGCTACACCTCAAACAGCTAGAAAAAGAAGAGCAAGTAAAGCCCAAAGCCAAAAGAAGAGAGGAAATTATAAAAATCAGAGCAGAAATCAATGCAATAGAGACTAAGAAAACAATCCAAAGAATCAACGAAACAAAGAGTTGGTTCTTTGAAAGAATAAATAAAATCGATAAGCCCCTAACCAACCTTATTAAAAAAAGGAAAGAAAAAGCTCAAATTCATGCAATAAGAAATGAAAAAGGAGAAATCACTACAGACCCAATAGAAATACAGAGGATCATCAACACCTATTTCGAAAACCTCTACTCTCAAAAGTTTGATAACACAGAAGAAATAGACAGATTCTTAGAAGCACATGAAGTACCAAAGCTAGATCAAGAGGATATAAAACTGTTGAATAACCCAATCTCTGCTAATGAAATTGAGAATGTAATTGGGTCCTTGCCCACCAAGAAGAGCCCAGGCCCAGATGGATTCACTGCAGAATTCTACAAGAAATATAAAGAAGACCTAATGCCGACACTCCTCAAACTATTCAATGAAATTGAAAGGGAAGCAATCCTTCCTAAGTCATTCCTGGAAGCAAATATTACTCTAGTACCAAAACCTGAGAAAGACCCAACTATAAAAGAGAACTGTAGACCGATCTCCCTAATGAACACAGATGCAAAAATCCTCAATAAAATATTGGCAAATAGGATCCAGCAAATCATCAAGAAGATTATACACCATGACCAAGTGGGATTCATCCCAGGAATGCAAGGATGGTTCAACATACGCAAATCAATAAATGTAATCCACCATATCAATAAAGCCAAAAATAAGAATCACATGATCATCTCTATAGATGCAGAAAAAGCCTTCGATAAGGTCCAACACTTATTCATGATAAGAACTTTACAGAAAATTGGAATAAATGGTCTTTACCTCAATATAATAAAGGCCATTTATGACAAACCAACAGCCAGCATCATACTAAATGGCCAAAAATTGAAAGCCTTTACTTTAAAATCGGGTACAAGACAAGGATGTCCTTTATCACCGCTCCTATTTAATATAGTACTGGAAGTACTAGCCAGAGCAATTAGGCAAGAAAGAGAAATAAAAGGGGTAAAGATAGGAAAAGAAGAAGTTAAATTATCATTGTTTGCAGATGACATGATACTCTACATAGAAGACCCCCTAAACTCCATTGAAATACTCTTAGATACAATAAATAAATTCAGTAATGTGGCTGGATACAAAATCAATACTCAGAAATCAATAGCATTCCTATACACGAACAACAATATTACAGAGAGGGAAATAAGAGAAACTGGACTATTCACATTAGCAAGCAAAAAAATGAAATATTTAGGAATTACTCTTACAAAAGAAGTGGAAGACTTATACAGTGAAAATTATAATACACTGAAAAAGGAAATTGAAGATTATCTCAGAAAATGAAAGACATCCCTTGCTCATGGATAGGAAGAACAAACATTGTGAAAATGGCCAGTCTCCCAAAACTGTTATACAGATTCAATGCAATCCCAATAGAAATACCATCAACATACCTTATAGATCTAGAGAAATCACTCCTAAATTTCATCTGG